GTAGCTGCGGGTGAGTGCCACTAATCCTAATGGCACGCCACCCACACTTGAAATCACACCCACACTGGGAACCGCACTGTACTGTACTGTGTGGACTGAGATTCCAAAAATAGTGCAGAGACTTTTTCCCTGTGTTTCATGAGACACAGCAACCATTCAAATGTATGGGCTGCCATGCCCGCACAAACCGCAGCCTGCACAGCTGCATAGATGTGAACCTAGGCTTTCTGCAGGTCTACCTTCCTGGTGCATATGTTTGAAATATATTTCAGCTCCCCTATCCCTTTTAAAATATACAAACGTGGCTGCACTGGATTCATTTTCAAACAAAAATAATTTGATCATCAATTATGAACATATCTTGATAGATTATTGAAGATGATATCCATTCCAAAAAGTTGAAAATGCAAAATAAAATTGAAACTTACTATAGCTCCAGCTGCTCCAGAAAGCCCATTACCTCCTCTTGCTCCCTGAAATGAAATACAGAATACAGAGCTTTCAAAAAACAGAAATATCTACAGTAAACTAATGCTTATTTACATCTATGTAACCAATTACTAGAGATATATATTTTTGTCTATGTTGTGATATCATTGCTGCATCACTTATTGCCATTGTACAAGGATTTGAAATATTTGCCTTTTTTCTTCAAAACTTTAAATTTATATTAAATATATTTTACCATTTTCAAACTTGCAATATGCAACTTACAGGTACACCTTGAGATCCAATACGTCCTCTTTCACCAGGCATTCCCCTTGGTCCCTTTATGCGTAAAAAGAAAATAATTTGCTTAGAAACAAATTGTATATTGTAAAAAAAAATTGTAAAAATCTTATAGAAAATTAAATTAAATATTAGTTATCCCAACTAGGGTACCTAAGAAAATATTGGTGATCTTGACTCCAAATTAAAGTTCCCAAACTTATGATTTTTTTAGACTCCAAAGCAGAAAGAAGGTCTTCCTAGAGACACTTTGAATAAGTTATATCTATTTTTGAAAATATATTTCAAACACAAAGGTTCATGGAGTAAATGGAGTAATGTAGTGAGAAAATGCTTAAATAATTACTTATACACACTCTCTCCAGTATTATCTGTACATCATTGCTCTTAACCAGTTCCAAATAGTGGACATTGGACCATGCCTACATAAATGTGGTAGCAGGGCCACTTGTAATTTTAACCAGGGGGGCATGTGATAAGGTAAAGTAAACACTTGTAACCCCATAACCTCCAGTGACCTTTGTGACTGGATCACCAAGTATACATTTATTGAGCTGCAGATTTAAAAAGAATAGAATCAACCTTACCATGCTAAAGATTATATGAAGTTTTTAGATATATTTTAATAGGTTGGCTAATTAGTGGTGGAAGGTGGGGCAATTTAGGTTATACAGTTCATATGATAGAATGCAGTGACTGTTCAGCTGACAATCCCCCCACTCCTTTGATTCTTTAGTCAACTTTTGTGGAGTTTGGTGGTGCCAACAGGGCAACCAATGGTTTGAATTTCAGCTGAGCCACTTAGTGAACAAACAGATTTATGGTAACGGAGAGGGGCATGACCATACTTCACGCTTTGAAGTTTCAAATGATATTTTATTTGAATTCGAAAGTTGAACAAAAAAGCAGACATGTTAGTCACATACTGTAAGTATTTACTTTTTTAATCAATATATTTGTGCTATAACATGTATTGTATTGTGAGGTTTTTGAAGGTAAGTTTCTATCAGCTTTGTACATCTAGCTCTGCTTTTTAGATTTGGATAGGACTGTTGCTGAACAGAAATTTTGCTTGCCAGAGATAATCAGTAGTAATGAAGACCAGGCTTTGGGTACACCATGCAGGATCTTGTTTTATACCGTTTCAGTGTAGTTTTGCCTGTGTGAATTAGGTCACTGTCATGCCAAATGTGAGATTCTCAGCTAAACCTCATCTCAGATCTCTTGCACACTGAAATAATGTTCATTCTGTAATTGGCCTGAATTTGGTTTTATGTATATTTCCCCCAATTCAGAACAGTTTTCCAATTTGTGACAATAAAAAGCATCCTTGCAACATGATGCCAAGCAACACTATTGCCAAACGTGTTGCCAAATAACACTGCCAAGCTATTTTGTGCTAAGGCCAAAAACCTGTTTTGGCTTAATTAGACAAGAGAACATTACCCTACATTTTTCTTCTGTATGTCTTCTGCTAGTGTTTTAGTAGATTCCTAATATAACTTGATGTAGGAATTATCAGCAATGCCTTTCTTCTTCTCAGTCTTAAAATGGATGGTTTCTCCCTTCTCAGCTTAAGATCTTTGCAGCTTCTTCAGAATTACCATGTACACCTTATTTGTTGCTCTAGCTAATGACCTTTGTACCTAGTAGGTACTATTTTCCAGGCAGAGTTATCATTGTGCCATTTTGGATTTGATGCACACTCAGGATTTTCAAAGTGAGGGCTTTTTAATTAAAGTAACACTGGATGGTGCTTCTCTAGAACTTTATCAAATTTTTGTGTTATTAGTCTTTTCAAAATGTTAATTTCGAGATATGGTATTTAAATCTGGCGTCTTCCAGATAAAGGTGATTTTAATATAATCACACAATACTTCCACTGTGGTTCCACACAGGTGGATTCCATTTAAGTAATTCTGTAACTTCTGAAAGCATTTGGATAAACTAGAATTCATTTGTGGGTTTTACAGCAAAGGGGTGAATGTTTATTCAATTTGAATTTTTCAGTTTTATATTGCAATGCATTTGAAAAACATAATTTTTTCAAGTTTTGCATAGACTAGTGATATAAAATCCCAAATACAGCCATTTTAATTACAAGCTGTAATACTACAAATTTGGAAAAGTCCAGGAGATGAAAATATTTCTGCTAAGTCCTGCAGAGCAAGGAACAGTGCAAACTACCCATATTTATAATATTACTGCTGTTAAATACTTGAATGCAGCTTTTAATGAAAAATAAAAAAAAGTTGTCAAATTCACTGGCATTCATACTGGGTGCTTACTTACCGAAGGACCGTTGCCACCCATAGGACCAGTAGGACCAGATTCTCCCTACAAAGAAAGAGTCAAAATGATATAAATATTATAATAATAATAATAATAATTTAGGTTGCAGCCTTAACTATATTTTACATTTTGATTAAATGCTAAAGAAATAAATAATAAAAGAAAACACGACATTCAGGCCTGTAATATTTTACAAACAAATAGGAACTGATTTACTGAAACTGGAGAGTGCAAAATCTGGTGCAACTCTGCATAGAAACTCTGCTGTTTATCCAACCAGCTTCCATTTTCTTTTGTCAAAGCTTACAAGCTGAAGTTAGAAACTGATTGGCCACCATGGAGAGCTGCACCAGATTCTGTACTGTCAAACTGTTGTAAAACAACCCCTTAGTGTACAAAGAAATTATGGCAGTGACTAAATCATGCTAAGCAGTTAAAAAAGAGTGCACAGTAAACATGAACATGTACAGTATGTCAAGATATATTGCATCTCTGCAATACATGCACATTTCACAATGGTGTATTCCATTAAAGGCCCTGCAAGTACAAAAAAATATTTTTTGTTCTGCCAGAAATGTTCTCAGCTCTTAAGTCCTGTTGTGGACAGCCTTTCGTGGACTGGGAGGTGTCTTAACTAATCAAGTTAGCTCCTGCCACTCTCAGATCTGCACAATGTAAAGGCTAATCATTCCGTTGTCCAGGATAAGAAGTGAGGGGCTGAAAGGGCTCTTTCAGTTGACACATGAAGTGTTCAGAGGACACACAGGACAGCTCTGAATTTCTGACAAGATCAAGAAGTTTTTTTTGCACTTATGATACAAATATAGCAAAATTCTTCTAATCGTATATTTAAAGTTATTCTAAATGTTGTAATTAAAATATATACTGTATATAACATGTTATACTTACCTGCTCTGTGAGATGGTTTTGCACAAAGCAGCCCCAATCCTCTTCTTTTTGAGTCCCATGCCACTGGTCCTGGCTCCTCTCCCCTACCTAGTGCCCCCAATGGCAAGCCTCAAGCAGGCAAACATTGTCCATTTTGTCCATTCACACATAGAGTGTGGCTTGGCCCCACCCCCTGCTCTCTTCGCATTGGCTCATTGGCTGTGATTGACAGCAGCAGGAGCCAATGGCTCCCACTACTGTGTGAGCCAATGAGGGGAAGAGACCCAGGAGAGCCGAAGCTCTCATGCACATCATTGGATCAAGGTGGGGGGGGGGCTGAAGGGAAGTTGCACCCAGATGATTTTTTCCTTAATGCATAGAATGCATTAAGGTAAAAAACCTTCTGCCTTTAGAACCACTTTAACTCACCAAAAGGAAGCAATTAAGAGATGTCTATTGTTAGGGTTTACATATATTTTAAGCACAGAGGGGATCACATCACTAAGTGAACCTCTTATTTCAAGTGCAATGACATTACTATAGTATATTCTTTATTGCTTCCTAAGGGTAAAGCAAATGAAATGTGCAAAAATGTTACTGTGTTAATTGGTGATGTGAAGAAATTTGCCCTCCTATTGTATCCTGCTCTTTGCAGCTCATCATACATCTCTGTGCTAATCTGTTAATCGCTTGCCTACCGGGCACTTATACCCCCTTCCTGCCCAGGCCAATTTCCAGCTTTCAGCGCTGTCACACTTTGAATGACGATTGTCATGCAACACTGTACCCATATGAAAATTTTATCATTTTTTTGTGACAGATGGAGCTTTATTTTGGTGGTATTTAATCACCTCTGGGTTTTTTATTTTTTCTTAAACAAACCAAAAACTGCTGAAAATTTTAAAAAAAAAAAAAGTTTTTCTTAGTTTTGTTATAAAATGTTGAAAAATAAGTGATTTTTCTCCTTCACTGATGTGCGCTAATGAGGCTGCAGTGATGGGCACTGATAGGCTGCACTGATGGACACTGATAGGTGGCACTGATGGGCACTGATGATGATGCACTGGTAGGTGGCACTGATGGGCACTGACATGCATCACTGATGAGCACTGAAAGGCAGCACTGATATATGGCACTGATAGGCGGCACTGATAGGTGGCACTGACTGGCACTGTTAGGCGGCATTGACTGGCACTGTTAAGCGGCACTGACTGGCACTGTTAGGCAGCTCTGACGAGCACTGATAGGCGGCACTGATGCACACTGATAGGCGGCACTGGCTGGCACTGACTGGCACTGATTGGCAGCACTGATAGGTGGCACTGATTGGCATTGATAGGTGGCACTGACTGGCACTGATGGGTGACACTGAAAGGCAGCTCAGATGGGCACTGATATGTGGCATTGATGTGCACTGGTAGGCACTGATATGTGGCATTGATGTGGCACTGATGGGCGCTGGCACATAGCACTCTTCAGCACTGACAGCTGGCACTGATGGACACTGACAGATGGCACTTCAGGGGCCACACTGATCATCAGGGCACACTGATCATCAGTGCCCTGATGATCAGTGTACATGTCCCCTCTGCGTAAAGCCGATTACCGGCTCTCCTCTCGAGCTGTCAGTGTGACAGCTTGTGAGGAGAGAAATTCCGATAACTGGCATTTCCCTGTTTACATGTGATCAGCAGTGAGTGGACACAGCCGATCACATGACTGAGCCGACATCTTCGGCTCTTTCCATAGATCGGTGATCCGCTGTGTTCGAGGGACGCAGCGCACCACCGATCGCCGCGCTGCGCATTCCCTAAGCCGTGCATGCCCGGTGAGAATGTGAGGACGTCATAGGACGTCCTCCCAGAACGAGAGAACCACCTTGCGCCTGTCATTGGACTATATGGCGGGCGGGAGGTGGTTAAAATCTGTTAGAACTTCCTGCTTATGTAACATGAGTAATCTACATCCTTCTAAGGGTGGCCTTACATGGATCAGTTTTTTTGATCAGCCAGAGGAAAAACTGAATGGCTTCCCCCATCCACACAAGCCAGGTGGATGAAGGAATGTTCTCCATTGTGTTTTTGCATTCTGACATTGGAGAATCCTCTGCTGATTAGAGGAAAAATTCCCAACAGGTTCGAAAGAAGTCGATTATTGGATCGACTTCTCTGGAACAAGATCAGCCATAGGTAGTTCAAACTTATTCCAATCCTTGCTGAACCAGCCATATTTAAATCCATCTATGGCTAGTTTAACTAGCTATTTTAGTATCTACAAGTTGTTTAGTAGTATGAGTATGTATGTGAGGTCTCAAAAAGAGAAATCTCTAACAGCCTACCAAAAATGACAGGCACAAAATACACTCCAGCAAAGCAAATGGGGAGCATATATGTACTACTCAGTAGAACGTTGTAATTATATTTAGCTAAAATAAGATATGATTTGTAAAAATTGTTTTCCTATGCAGCCATAATGCAAAGTGTATCTATATACACACCTTGTTTAGTTTTGGATAGATTGGTGAAAGGTTAGAACCCTTCTCAGATCCTACTCTTATCCAGTGCTCCATTAAAGAGATTTCCCTTCACTTCCCCTTCTTGGAACAACCTTTTTGATTAATGGGAAGGAAGACAAAATCTGCACCAGTGAAACAGACAACAATAAAAAGCTGAAAATGTTTTCAGCATTCCCCTACTAATCTTTAAATAAAAGGCATTTTTACATCTGTCTATGTTGCTGTTAGAGAGATTTTCCCTCTCTTCCTCTCCTTGGGACAACCTTTTAAGAAGACTGGAACTGCAAGAAACTAAATGGTGCCTTTGACTGCAGTAAAACCTGACAGGAGATCTAGCCCTTCCCTGCTTTTTTCAAAAACGAATAAAAATAAATTAAAAAGTTTTGGGTATAGATATACTTTGAGTAGTGATCAGGTGAGAGGTAGTGTATGTTTAACTGGATATATTCACATCCACATTACATAGTTACATAGTTAGTCCGGCTGAAAAAAGACAAAAGTCCATCCAGTACAACCATAGGAAAAAAAAAGTTATAATCCTATACCCACAGTTGATCCAGAGGAAGGCAAACAAACCCCCAGCAAAGCATGATCCAATTTGCACCTGCTGGGAAAAAAAAATCCTTCCTGATCCCCCGAGAGGCAATCGGATATTCCCTGGATCAACTTTGCCTATAAATGTTAGTATCCAGTTATATTCTATGTATCTAAGAAAGAATCCAGGCCTTTTTGAAGCAATCAACACATTAAAGTTAAAAGCAAAATTAATTTCCAAAATAAATTAAAGTAAGAAACCAAAAAATAGTGGCGCTAATACTTTAGCCTATGACAACCATTGTTTGAAATTTAGATGACCCAATTACCTTTGACCCGGCTGCTCCAAGTTCACCTTTTGGACCATCAAGACCTTTATGACCCTTAAAGTAGAGAATACATTATCAATTATCAATGATAATTACCATTAACACTATAAGTACATCATTATATATATATATATATGTGTATGTATATATATATGTATATACAGGGTTAGACAAAAAATGGACACACATTATTTGCAGGTGTGAAAGTGATGACGTTTCACTTTGACAGCAGAAGTGATGTAACATTCTTTTACGTACGCTGTGTGATGAGACACCTAGCTGACAGGTGGGAAGCCTCACTTTTGTCATTCACTGCATGCACTGCTAGTAATACGGAGTCATGTCAGAGGTTACTGAGCTTCAATGAGGGCAATTCGTTGGTACCTGCTTAGCTGGTGCCTCTGTGACTGAAGTTGGCATATTATTCGCCATGTCACGGGGTACAGTATCAAAGGTTATGAAGGCATATACAGTTTCCAGGAAAACGTCTGATGAGCATAAGCGTGGTTGACATGGTCAACTGACCGAAAGAGACAAAAGGACATTTCGCAGGATTGTGACCCAGAATAATGAAACAACTGCTAATTAAATGGCAAAGCACGTGTTTTGTACCATTCTGTTTATATGGCAAACATGGAACTTATGTAACCTTATGGGTTAAGGATTCCTTTTAGGATAGGGTTCAGGGTTAATAGGATGACATAAAGGTTATGGATCAAGTTAGCTGTTAGGTTTCAGAGTAGGTTTAAGAAAAAAATGTTAAAGTATAAAGGCAAAACTTTTTTCTTACTTCTGGACAGGGTGGAGATGGGTTAGAACACTTGTTAGTTTTTTTTTTTTTGCTGTCGTGTCCCCATTAGGCAGATTCATCCTCACTATTAGTCCTGTTTACCATTATTATCAAAAGTGAAAGTAAAAGAAAGCCCAAATTTTGGGTTGTCCCCAGAAAAGTAATGGGGGGTCAATTGGGGACAATAGTTCTAGTGATCTGGGGGTCCCCAAGGAATTCCCTTGATTTGCAGAGATTTTCTCTCTGTTTTAGTGATGGGACAGGAAGTGAAGACTTTCCAATGGGACATGGATGGCAAAAAATAAACTGAGAGGTTATAAACCTCCCTTACTCTATGCAAAATGAAAACAAAATGCCTATAGTTCTACGTTAAGTGTTATGAAGAGGTTATATGTTAAGGGTCAATCTTTTTAGGTGCTTTTTTAGGTTTAAAGCTTCAGACTGGTGCAGTTAAGAGCCAGATTAGAGTTAGAGCCACATTTAGGTTATAGACCAGGACATTTTCAGAGCCGTACTCCATGCAAAACCATGCTGAGTTCCCTCTAACTTAAACATTATGTATCAACAATATGAGCAATTCTCAAACATATTAAATCATAGACAATACGACATGAATTCTCATGAAAAGTTCTAAATTTTAAATTAAAATGTAAATCCTTCAAATGTACACATGGCCCTAAAATCACCTATTTTTATAATAGCCATCTATTTTGCACATTGTTAAGCACTATATATCATCAGCATTTTCTTACTCTGTGTCCTTTTAGTCCAGGAAGTCCAGGAGCGCCAGGAAATCCTCTTGCCCCCTAAAACAAAAATAGCTAATTACTTTAGGACAGGTGACATACATAAATGACATGCTCTTTTTTGTAAAACTGCTTTATTAGCATTATTAAATACATAATTATCTAAAAGTGTCAAGAAACATATCAGATATCAAATTATATTTAAATATGACATAGTGAAAGTGATGCACTATACAGTTGTTTAGTTTATGATGAAACACTTTAATATATGATTACTATAAAATTCCTTAGCTCACTGTACAGGAGAATGAACAAAAAAATTAAAAGAAATGCCCAATTGAACTGTTATTGTAAAGTTAAAAATGATAAAATTGTATTGAATATAACAGTTACTCACAGTAGATCCTGGGAATCCTGTTTCACCCGTCTGTCCGGCCCTTCCTGCCTCTCCCTTGAAAAAGACAAATAATAATTTATTTAATCCAAACCTCCAAATATTTCTGAACTTATATGTACAATCAGGCTAAGAATGATACATGAGAAAATAAAAGTCAAACCTATGGATCAAGTAGAACACTTTCAAACATTTTAGTGACCCTTGGTATCTACCTAGAATTCAGAGCTCTGAAGAAGTTGCACCTCCCCCGAAATGTGTTAGCCTTCCAACCGTGGTGTACATGGTTGGACACCATCACCTCATGGCTGGAGCTGATATTTGAAACCGCTTGTTCCCTATTATGTTTGTGAATATGAATTTGTCTTTTGGATCCAATAAATGTTTATGGTGGCAATGCATGAGGCATTTGCATCTGCCTGTGTGTTTTTTGCAGTTTATTTAAAGTTTTTAAGTCTGAGGAGGGTTTCATCGGTCGAAGCATTGCAGTGATGCCATTGAATGTACTACTGTCTGAGCGCTGGAGTGGTGGAATTTTTTCTAAACAGAGCCAACCAATCTCTCTCTCTCCAGCAAACTCTCTCTCTCTCTCTCTCTCTCCAGTTTACTCAACCCAAGCCTTATTTGAAATTTTAGATGCAGAGCTAAGAATGACTGAATATGGAACAACCCTATGTCAACTAAAAACCTAATTCTGAGGCTAAATCTAAGAACTATAAGAAAACGAGACACATTTTTAAAATAGTCTATCAACATTAAAAATGATCAGATTGTTAAGTCCACCAATGGCAGGCCAAAGATCTATTTTTACAACTGACATGTTGAGTTGGGGGATTACAGTAGTTTCTACAAATTCCAATCTCCCATCAGGACAGTAGTATGACAAAAATAGAATTATTTACAATAAATAGCAAGTATTGCTTGTAGCAGAAGCCACTGTAGATTCACTATCCAGTGGATGGGCTTAGGGTGAACAGAGCCAAAATGTTTTTTTGAGATACGTTTTCAGAGCTCGGAAAGTCAGAATGTTACTTTCGCATCCTATATTACTGTAGTGTTTGGGTAGAAATAAATTAAATGCTTAACGGTGCATCATTGTTACACACCCGTACACATTTATACCATACCTATGCATCTAGTCCGTGTCTGTAAAGGATACATCTACACTGGTGAACAATATGCTCATCCTGATGCTAACTTCTGTATTTC